GTGGTGGCTCCAAATTAGGGTGCTGACCTCCTGCTCAGCTATGGGTAGGGGATAAGGACAAGGAGGTCAGGTCGACCTGGCAGTGTTTAGAGCAGAGACAAGTGTGTAAGCATGGGCAGTGAGGGGATGCTGCCCATGGCACTTTCCCAGCTGGCACTGTGTCACCCAGTGCTGGGGCAGAGGATGGAGCTGCCCCTCTGCATGTGATGCTGGAGCCATAGAGGGGGGGTTCTCTGACTGCGTTCCTGTGGGCAGGAAATTACACCCAAGGATTCACATTCCTCAAGAAAGTGAAAATGCCTCAAACGTGAGAACAAGGTGGTCAAACTACAGTGAAAGGCTTTGCTATGGAAATGCAGATCCGTGTTCCCTGGGCTGGTGACTCCTGGTTGGCTCCGGCAGCCAGTGCTCAACCTTTGTTCTCACTGGCATCTCCTTTTGGCGGATGTCAGCAACTGAAACCAAAGCCCCTCCACCGGCAGGTCAGGAACAAGCCCCTTTCAGGAAACAGGGAAATAAAGGACAATTTAACATCCAGGAATGGAAATGACTCAGGGGGGTTAAAATGCACAGAAGAGGAGAACAAGAAGGGTCCTGGCCCCTTTCTGATGGCGGCAAGGCTTTGTTACAAGTATGCACATTGTTCCTCACATTTCCTATCTTCCCCTTACAATAGGGTTTGTCCATGCTGCCTGTTCAGCACACAGAGGCATCCAGCCTTACTGCCTCCATGCACAGCTCCATGGTGACAGCTTCCTGAAGGTTGGGCAAGTCTCAGGGTTGTCTCTGCCACCAGGAATTGGGTTTGGTGCTGCTGAGTGGCTGCTGGAGCTGGAGCCAGCAGTGGGGACAGCCAGGAGGGCAAAGCTGCGGCACTTCAGAAGATACCAGTGCGCACACTGATGGTGTCACGTTCATGAATCCATGATATCCCATGTACGAGCAGCAGCCTGGGGGTTCCCCTCCTCAAATTCCTGAGAAGGAGCTTTGTGAATGCACCCATGGCATCACCTCCTTGTGTGTCTGATTTATGGAGAACTGCAGCAAAAATTTGCTGGAGAGTGGGGATGTCCCCTGGGTTACCAAGGTGCCAGTTCTGGGACATCTCAGCTAGGACAGGCAGTCCTGCCCTGCCCCAGGAGAACAGGAGAGTACCCAGGACAGGGAAGATCAGGTCTGGCATCTTGTGGGGTGTCTCCAGAACTGGAGTGCATGGCTGGAATGCTGGGTGGAGAGGAAGTGCCCAGGAACTGTTTTTGCTCCCTGCTCACAGGGATGCAGCATCCTCCCGCTGAGCACCTTGCTCCTTGAAGCAGTACAGGAAAGGCACTTGTGTGATTCGTTGATCTCCAGCTCTCCTTTCCATCTAGTTGCACTTGAAATTGGGAGCCTGGGAGAGAAATGGATATCTGGAGGGAGCTTTAGAGGGCAAATTGCTGTGGAATGGCTGGAGAATTCAGCAGTGGTGCACCTTCACCACCGTAACCATCATCCCAGGAGATGCGCTGCAACCTCTTGTCCATTACAGGCACCTCCAGCTGCCTCCAGCTCCCTAGTTATCCTGTCTCAGCACAGACCAGGCATCTTGCGAGCTGCTGAGGACGACAGCCGAGGTGATCTCATGCTGTGAATATTCTCTTGGCTCCTTCCTCACACTCCAACGCCTCACTGATAAGGCTCCGTGGTGAGGTCAGTGGGAGGGATTTGCATTGCGGAGCTGTGTGTCACCCGGGGAGCCTGGGGTACTGGCACCTGCGCTCCCCGCTACTCCCAAGGATCCAGCCCAAGCCAAGTCGCTGTCCCACCTCACAGCCTTGGCTGGGCTTTTCCCCCATACACTCCCACCTGAGCAAAGGGTCACCACTGCTGCCTGTGGGTCCAGCCTAGCATGGGGATGCCAGCTGCTATTTCACTTCTTCTGGGAGGAAAATGAAAAGGTCCAGGCTTTTATTACCTTCAGCATTAGAAAGAAAAAGAGAAAACTCTTCAGATCACTTTCCAAAGGGGTTCTGTCAGCCCAGGAGGGGTTTCCTGATGCCAAAAATAGAGCAGTATAAAGAAGGGAAGCAGGATGACGCAGGAACAGATAGGCCGGTGGATGAGCTGGGGGAGCTAGGCTGGCTCCCCTGGGAAAAATCAGGGCAGAGCCACAGCCAGGGGCTGTGCTGCTGCTGGGATTGGTATCTTGGGGTGGTGCCTCTGTCCATCTCTCCATCCATCCATCCATCTGCATCCACCCACTGCTAGGCATGGGCTGGTGTTTCCAGACTCAGTGTGTGCTTGGGGAAACAGGGACAAGAGCTGTGCCCTCCTCTCTTCCCTGCAAAGGGGTAGATCCTCCCTGGGGTTTTGAGGTCTCCCCCACACCCACAGGGCCAGTGCAGATTTCAGAGTGCAGACTCCGAAACTCCAGCCAGGTGGATTTGCCTTGTCACTGGTGAAACTGGGCTGAAAAACTTGTTTCTTTTTTGTTGTTTGATGAGCTCCCTCGCACTAAGAACAGGCTCAGGACCTGCCTGGGTGGGGATGCTCTTAGGCCTTGTTAAGCTCGAATCCAGACTGACCATGCCAGGGCCGCGTCCTTCATCTCTGGGTCTGTAACGTGGTGCACCTTTTCCTACAAGCTCTGATCCTTCTCCATCCGCCTCTGAGTGTGTTACCTGATACACATTGGGGAGTTTTATTTTCTTTTTTTCCAATCTTTTGGAAGAAAACACAGAGGGAGAGAGCTGCACCTTGTCTGCTACCGCATCTCATGGCTTTTGGGGATCTTGGGGTGGCCTGGGGGTGATCCCACAGTGGGATGAAGCTGTATTCAGCAGCAGAAGCAGCAAAGCAAGGAGGCTAGGGTAAAGATCAACACCCCCCCCCCCCCCAGACCTGCCTTCTGGGTCTGTGCTGATAAGAAGCTGTGAGTTTCCTCGCAAAAGAATGGGAGCTTAATGTCCCAGAGCTAATTAGCGATTTTCCCTGCACCTGCCTCTTGGCCACCACTGCCTCCCCTCCAGCCATCTGCTGCCTCGGGGCCTCGCAGGCAGCCACAGCGCTGGGCTCTGCACCAGCAGCCTTGGGCACTGGGGGTCGACATGGGGCTTGTGTTTCTCTGCTTCGGGGTTGGGGGTTCTCAGTGTCTCCCCAAAGATGAGCTCATTGGTGTTGAAAGGGGGAAAAAGGATTTGATCCCTGATGGCTTCCTCGTTGTCCCCCAGCACAGTGGATGGACAAGCCCTGCTGTGGTCCTGTGGCCATGCTGCAAATGGCATCTGCCGGAATAGGGAAACTGAGGCTGGCAGAGGGACAGGGGATGCCCAAAGGCACTGAATCCAGTACTAGACAGGCTGGGATGGCTGCACTTGCAGCAAGCTGACATCCCCCTCTGCGGTGGATGTGAGGAGGGGGGACATGAGGAGACAAGGCATGAGGGCAGAGCAGATGGGGCCAGCAGATTTTTGAGAGGCCAGGTTGGTCCTGCAGACAATGCTGTGTCTCTTTGAGCTGCGATTAAATGGAAAGATTTATGCTCCAGGACAGCTGGCAGGCAGAGCTGCTGAACCCCCCATCCCAGCAGCTGCAAGCCTCCTGTGTGCATGTAGCATGCACCAGACCCCAGCCCACTTCTGCACTGTGTATGCTTGCAGCCCAGAAACCACCCACGTGCTGGGCTGCACCCCCAGGAGCATGAGCAGCAGGTAGAGGGAGGGGATTCTCCCCCCCTACTGTGCTCTACTGAGACCCCCCTGCAGTCCTGCATCCAGCTCTGGGGGCAAAAACACAAGAGGGATGTGGAGCTGTTGGAGAGAGTCCAGAGGAGACCACAGAGATACTGCGAGGGCTGGAGCAGCTCTGCCCTGAAGACAGGCTGAGAGAGCTGGGCTGGTTCAGCCTGTAAAAGAGACCTTAGAGCAGGTTCCAGTGCCTAAAGGGGCCACAAGAAACCTGGAGAGGGGCTTTGGACAAAGGCAGGTAGTGACAGAACAAGGGGAATGGCTTTAAGCCGACAAAGGGATTGAGATGAGACATTAGGAAGAAGTTCCTTACTGTGAGGGTGCTGAGATGCTGGCACAGGGTGCCCGGAGAAGCTGTGGCTGCCCCATCTCTGGCAGTGTTCAAGGCCAGGTTGGACGGGGCTTGGAGCAACCTGGTCTAGTGGAAGGTGTCCCTGCCCATGGCAGGGGGTTGGAACTGGATGAGCTTTAAGGTCCCTTTCAACCCAAACCAGTCTGGGAGTCTATGATCTGCCCCAGGCTCCCTCCACGACTGCAAGCGCCCGTGGCACCCCCATGGGCTCTTGCCCACCTCGGGCACGACCTCCGTGTCCGCGCTCCTGCCAGTGTCCGTGCCCCCCCTGCCGGCAGCAGCCCCGGCGGAACGGGGAGGGGCGGTGCGGAGCGGGGCGGGTCCGGCCCTGCATTCCGGGCATAGCAGCGTTCGGGCCGGCCCCCGCTGCCGGCGGGACGCTCAGTCCCGTCGCCGCGCTCCCCGGGAAGCACCGCCACCGCCCCCGCTCCGCCATGCCCCGGTAAGCGCCGTCCCGGAGGGGCTCCCAGTGTCGCTGGGGACCGAGACCTCCGTGAGGGTCGACTCGGCTCTCCCTGGCCGCCGGGCGGGGGGTTTGCGGTCGGTGGGTCGTGCGAGCCGCCCGATGGCTACGTGCCCACTCCCGCGGGGCCGCCTTATCCCCCATTCCCCCGGACCTGGAGGCAGCCCCGGTCCCTGCGAGAGGTACCGGGTCCGTGGGGAGCCACTACCGACCCCCAGCCCCTACCCCAGCCCCGACCCCTGGCGCCAGCCCTGGTCATGGGTGCGATGAGAGTGCCAGTGTTCAGCCACGGCAGTGGGTTGAGCTCCCTCCACCACCACAGCCTCCTGCCCGTCCGGCAAGTCCCAGCCAGGCTCCCAGTGTGCTGAGCGGGATTCCTGGAAAACAAAACCCTGTTGACCAGCAGTGCGTCCTGCCCAGGCCGGTTCTTCATCCATTATCCCCTCTTTTCTCCATGCAGGTGTCTCGGCGTGGCTGGTGGCTGCTAAAGGACCTCCGGGGACGCCCTTGTCGGGTTGGAAACGTGGCTTTGCCGACGGCGCTGGCGGAGATGAGGACGGCGGAGGACTCGAACGGGACGGTCCTGCACCGCCTGATCCAGGAGCAGCTGCGCTATGGGAACCTCACGGAGAACCGCACTCTGCTGGCCATCCAGCAGCAGGCCCTGCGCGGCGGTGGCGCCGGCAGCCCCCGCTCCTCCCTGGAGAGCCTCAGTGCCGAGGAGAGCCAAATGGTGCAGCAGTCCACACGGCAGGAACCCCAGGGCCAGGAGCATCACTCTGACCACATCTACTTGGAGAACAGTGTCTATCGGCTCTGCCAGCCCCAGCACAAGGGCGAGGAGCTTCCAACCTATGAGGAGGCCAAGGCGCATTCCCAGTACTATGCCTCTCAGCGGGGTGGGCAGCAGCATGGAGGGGCCAGCACAGGGATTCGGGGTGAAAACAGCCCACGTGGGGCTGAGAGCAACAGCACCCGACGCCCCGATGAGGGGCTGAAGGACCTGAAGCATGGCCACGTGCGGTCACTGAGTGAGCGGCTGATGCGGCTGTCGCTGGAGAGGAGTGGGGCCAACACACAGAGCCCCATCAGTGCCTCCCACAGCTACCCCCAGCTCTCCCGTCACCACCAGCTGGCTGCCCTGCAAGGGCAGCACCCTGAGGGGCCAGAGCCAAGGGGACCCCCTCCAGAGTATCCCTACGTCATCCCTTCCCAGGACACTTACCTGTCTGAACCCCGACCCTGCTCTCAGGAAGGTCCTGGATTTCAGCATCCCGAAATCAGGTAACCTGCAACTCCCAGGCCCTGCTTTTGGAGTCCCCACTGGGTGCCTCTCAGCTGTGTGTACCAGGAGCCGGGATGGATGCTTGGGAGATATGGAATGCAGAGAGCAGTGGGGGGCCTGGGGCAGCCATTGCCAAACCTCTTGTCCTTGTGGGATCAGATCTGGCTCAGCCTCTGGGGTCTGCGGGGACCATTCCCCTCCCCAGTTTCCCCCAGCACAGTTGGGTTTTTCTAACTGGTGATGAAAATCCCACTGCCTCTGCAGACCCAGCCCTCTCCCCATGCACTGGGAGGAATTTGGGGTTAATTTAGGAGCTGGAACCAGCTCAGGAAATGGCTAAATGTGGAACAGGCATAGGGCGGGGTGGAAGGCAAACGCGCTCCCTATTCCATGGAAACCTATCGTGTGGCCCTGAGACGGGGATGTCCGCATAACACTGGTTTGCTGCCGGTGCCATGGGATTGCTGCTGAGCTAAGCCTGGGCTAGTGCCGGGTGGTTTATGGAGGTTATAAAGCAGTGCTAGGCAGCTCCCCCCTTCACTTGGGCAGCTTGTCACCTCCAGAAAAGCCCCAGGTTGTCTGCAAGAGGGTCATGGAGAGGTCTGGGGGGTGGGAGGGGAGGGGGAGAAGTCCAGGAGGGCTGGAAACAACTTTATTTCAGTGTGAAAAACTATGGGAAGAAAGGAATTGGAGGCTTGATGGGAGGACGCACACTGCTGCCAGCCTATCCAGGCGGAGAGCAACAGCATCTCCAGCAGGAAAACCTTCTCCTTCCAGGGAACAAAGAGGGGAAGGGGAGCTGTGAGGAAGACGTATTTATTCTTCCTTGCTCCTATATCATCCCGCAGGAATGCAGGCCCTTGGCGGATAGCCTGAGCAGAGCGGGGCTGCGCCATGCTCAGCCGCCTTGCTTGGGGTATTCAAAGCAGCCATGGGATGTCGAGGAGCTCAGAGCGGTCGTGCAAGGGGCGGCCAGGCTCACCCTGCTCCTCCGAATATAGACAGAATGTGTTCATGGTTTGGTGCTGAGGAGCCATGCCAGGAGCCCTTGCTTTGCCCAGAAAACAAAGGAAAGGGGCAGTGCTGCTGGATTCCAAGGTGCATCTTTTGTTGAGTTCTTGTTCATCCACAGCATCTCCAGCAATAGGGTAGGCCTGGGGGGCTGGGAGCCCATCCTGACCCACCAGCCAGGAGCTGTCAGGTCAAGGCATCCCTGAAAGATAGGGTTTATTTCCTATGCTTGAGTTAGAAAGCAAATGCTTCCCACAACTGAAAAGCAGGATACAGAGCCTCCCTCCTCTTTTGGGGTGAGCTGGAGTCACCAGCACCCGTTTAGGTTTGGAGCAGTCAATGGGACTCTAGGAATGTGGTCAGCCCTCCCACTCTTGCCAAACCCCACTGAGCATCCTTCTCCCCCTCTGCAGGGTGCTGTCCACCCATGTCCCCACTGCTTTCCTGCCGCTGCCAGGCGCTCTGTGCCCAGGCACACTGGGTCCTGCTGGTGTGGAGGCACTAGTGAATGCCCAGGCGGTCTCAACCAGCAACCGCCTGGCCCGGGTGGACGCCGTTCTGCGGGACAACGAGAGGCTCCAGCGGGACAACGAGAAGCTGCGGCGGGAGCTGGAGAGCTGCTCTGAGAAGGCGAGCCGCATCCAGAAGGTGAGCAGCCACGGCATCATTCCCTTCCCCTCCCTGGCTCCCTGCCTTAGATGGGGGGATGCTCAACCAGCTGCTGTGAAAATTCACCCCTTTAGTGTTTTAATCCCTTCTTCTCCTCCCTTCTGGTGGCTCATTTCTCCCTGAGCAGCTGTGTTTCAGCAGCACGGCAGGCGGGACTGGGGAGAAGGAGCCCATTCTCTAGTGACCCACTCCCTCTGTGTGTCCCCCCCATCCCTGGCCACCACAGAAAGCTCTTTGTGTGGCTGCGCACAAGGGGCGGCTGTTCCCTGCCGGCTGCGCTACAGCAGAGCCAAAACCTGTGGAAGGGACTCCTTTGCAAGGAGAAAAGGCAGAAAATACCAGTTTTCCCCCCAAAATATGCGCTGGGGGCCAGGCCAGGTGGGGGTCCCATGGGTGCGCTTGGGTTGGGCTGAGTGATCCAGGTGAGTTTTGGCCAGCATCTTCCTTTCTTTTCCTCATTCCATGCATATCTAACCCTGGCCTGTCCATTCCTCCACCCCAGCTGGAGAGCGAGATCCAGCGCATCTCAGAGGATTACGAAAACCTCGTCAAGGCCTCTTCCAAGCGGGAAGCTTTGGAGAAAGCCATGAGGAACAAGAGAGATGGTGAGATGCGGCGGCTCCAGGACTTTAACCGGGACCTGAAAGGTGAGGGACCCTCCATGTCCCCATCCCTGTGAGTGATCTCTGTCCCCCAGCTTTCCCCACCCAGGGTGTTTCCAGGCTTCTCCCACTTCCTCTGTCCAAACTCTTGTATTTAAATCTTAATTGGGTTTAATTTCCTTTGGACTAGAGCGGTTGGAGTCGGCAAACAAGCAGCTGGCCAGCAAGACCCAAGAAAGCCATGACAGCAACCAGGGCAGCATGGCAAAGCTCCTGGCGCAAAGTAAGTCCCATGGGATGCCTGTCCTTGCCTGGCTTCCCGTGGCATCCGTGAGCAGGACAGAGGGGCTCCTTTTTGGCTGGAGGAGGAGACGGGTGTTGGGCAGCAGCTCTCGCCCTTCCCTGGGGAGGATGGAGCAGCTCTTGGCCTGGACTGAGCCATTAATCCCAGTCGGCCGGCTGGTGGCGTGACCCACATTCCCCGCATTCCTGCCGCTGTGATGGCTCTTCCAGCACCAGGCCAGCACTCCCATCCTGCAGCCTGGCCCTTCTCTCCCTCCTCCCTCCTCTATGCCGCAGCTGTGCAAGCCTGAGCTTATTTTTGGGAAAATACACCTAAATCCATTAGTTTAGCACAGAAACGTGGTGTTGGTGTTATGGGGCAGGAATTGCATTCCCTTCTTTACGGTGGCTGCATTCACGCCAGGCAGCTTTTTTCCTTCATGAGGCAAAATTTGAGCTGCGGGTGTTGGGAGACGAGAAGCTCCCCATGACCCAGCTTCAGTGTTCGCTTGCAGTCCAGAAACCAACCATGTCCTGGGCTGCATCCCCAGAAGCGTGAGCAGTAGGTTGAGGGAGGGGATTCTCCCCTCTGCTCTGGTGAGACCCCTCCTGCAGTCCTGCATCCAGCTCTGGGGCTTCTTCAGCCTGTAAAAGAGAAAGTTTGGGAAGACCTTAGAGCAGCTCCCAGTGCCTGAAGGAGCTACAAGAAACCTGGAGAGGGGCTTTGAACAAGGGCCTGTAGGGACAGGGGGGAATGGTTTTAATCTGACAGAGGGGAGACTGAGATGAGACATTAGGAAGAAATTCTTCCCTGTGAGGGTGCTGAGGCACTGGCACAGGGTGCCCAGAGAAGCTGTGGCTGCCCCATCCCTGGCAGTGTTCAAGGCCAGGTTGGACAGGGCTTGGAGCAACCTGGTGTAGTGGAAGGTACCCCTGCGTGTGGCAGGGGGTTGGAACTGGGTGAGCTTTAATCCCTTCTAACCCAAACCAGTCTCTGATTCTATGATTTCTATGAAATGGAGACTGTCTACCCCTGTGGCTTGGGTCCCTCTGACCCCCATATATGTTGTGTGCTGTGGGAGGGATGGCACAGCCAGGTTTTATGGAACAAAAAGCTCCAGCTTGGGGGCAGTGAATCCTCCTTGCCTGACACTTGGGTGTTCTCTTACAGGCTATGAGCACCAGCAGGAGAAGGAGAAGCTGGAGCGGGAGGTATCCCTGCTGCGCAGCGCCAACGAGGACCAGCGTCGGCGGGCAGAGCTGCTGGAGCAGGCGCTGGGCAGCGCCCAGGCGCGGGCAGCCAAGGCAGAAGCTGAGCTGCGGAAGAAGCGTGCCTACGTGGAGAAGGTGGAGCGGCTGCAGGCAGCCCTGGGACAGCTCCAGGCCGCCTGTGAGAAGCGGGAGCAACTGGAGCTGCGGCTCCGCACCCGCCTAGAGCAGGAGCTGAAGATGCTGCGGGCTCAGCAGGTAGGTGCCGGTGCTGCCGGCAACCTGCAGTGTGTGCCGCATCCCCCCAGCACCTCCCCATCCTCTGCTGGGTTTTCACTGTCTTTTCTCTGCTGCAGAGGCAGGCAGGCACTGTGGGTGCAGGGACACCGGAGCTGAGTGCCCACACACTCTCAGAGCAGCTGAGGGAGAAGGAGGAGAAGATCCTGGCCCTGGAAGCTGACATGACCAAGTGGGAGCAGAAGTACCTGGAGGAATGCACCATGCGGCAGTTTGCCATGGATGCCGCGGCCACTGCAGCCGCCCAGCGGGACACCACTCTCATCAGCCAGTCCCCGCGGCATTCCCCCAACAGCAGCTTCAATGAGGACCTCCTCCTGGCCAGCCACAAGCACCAGGAGATGGAGAACAGGTAGTCCCACCTTCCTGGAGGCATTTTCTTCCAACAAGCTTGTGCTGTGGTCTGGTTGGGCAGCACCTGCATTCTCTTTTCCCTCCACCTCCTCACCCACATTGTGCCTCTTTTCCTCTCCAGGTTAAAAGCCCTTCATGCCCAAATCCTAGAGAAGGATGCTGTCATCAAGGTCCTGCAGCAGCGCTCGCGGAGGGACCCCAGCAAAGCTCTCCAGGGCTCCTTGCGACCAGCCAAGTCTGTGCCCTCCATCTTTGCTGCCTCAGCAGCCCTGAGCTGGCCAGGGGCTGGCCAGAGTGACCGGTTGACTGAGAGCAGCTCTCACAGCAGCACAGGTAAATGGAGGCACATCCCTGCTCCCTGCCTTCACTCAGCAGCATGGAATTGCCTGCAATTTCCCCTGCACGCTTGGAAGTAGAGAGCTCGGGGAGTGGGGACTTTTTCATTGAGCTGTAGGAGCTCTCAATCCTTACTGGTGTCTCCTGCAGCAGGAAAAGCCACCAGCGAAGGAGCAGGAGCGCCCACTGCCCTGCCGCTGCCGTCCCACTCGAAGCACAGCAGCAAGGATGGCAGCACTCAGACGGATGGAGTGGCTGAGAGCAGCGGCCAGGGTGAGGGCACCGAGCGCCCGGCTGGTCTGATGGGTGAGTGCCCCAGGGATGGTGTGGAGGAGAACCAAGGGTGCTCCAGCATGTGGGCTTAGCATCAGGAGATGGGCTCTGCATGAGCATCAGAGATTATTTTTTTTTTAAGCATTTTAAAGGACCCAGTTTAGTCTGGTGTGTTTGAATCCATGCAGTCGCTTGTAGAATCCCAGACTGGTTTGGGTTGTAAGGTACCTTAAAGATCATCCAGTTCCAACCCCCTGCCACAGGCAGAGACACCTTCCACTAGACCAGGGTGCTCCAAGTCCCATCCAACCTGGCCTGGAACATTGCCGGGGATGGGACAGGCACAGTTTCTCTGGGCACCCTGTGCCAGTGCCTCATCACCCTCACAGGGAAGAACTTCTTCCTTATATCTCATCTCAATCTCCCCTCTGTCAGTTTAAAGCCATTTCCCCTTCTTCTGTCACTACCTGCCCTTGTCAAAAGCCCCTCTCCAGATTTTTTTGTAGCCCCTTTATGCACTGGAAGCTGCTCTAAGATCTCTTTGGAGCCTTCTCTTCTCCAGGCTGAACCAGCCCTGCTCTCTCAACCTGTTGCTATTTTATTTTCATGATGCAGTAGTTTTCCCTTGAACCCCTTGCGGGGAGGCTGGACCTGCAGTACACTTGTTGCCAGCCCTTTGGTGGGGTGGGCACTGATGCTCTTCACCTCTCCTCCAGTTCTTATCTTATTTCTTTGCAGAGAGCTTGGCTGATGTCAGAGCCCCTGACCTGTCTGACATGGTGGAGATCCTGATTTAAGGCCTCCCATGGAATGCACACTGGCCCCTCTTCCCCTGCCTGCACTGGATCAGGGTGGCAGAGCCTGCAGGAGGGAGGACCGAGCCTGGAGCTCAGTGGTGTCCCTGTGGCTGGTCTCAGCACATGGGCCGTGGTCCCCACTCAGCACCCACAGGGGCCTCCAGCTGCGCAGGGCGTGCTGGAGCCCAAGGACCCTGCAGTGACTGAGGGGGCTCGTGTCCCCGCTGTGAACACACTGGGGTTTTGGACAACAGGAGCAACCTATTTATTGTTCCAGCCTGAAGCAGGGGGCTTCTTCCCATACCCTCCCTCATCGGCTCTGTTCCCATCCCGCCTCTGGGTCTTGGCAATTCACATCCACCCAAGTTCTTGGCCTCTGACTGGAAAATCCCTCTCTGTTCACCCAAACTGTCTCCACAAGCTCATGTCTTTGCTCAAGCCCAGAGCCAGGAGGGATCCTCTGGGGTCCCATCAACTGCCCAGATCGTGGGCAAGCCAAATGCCAGGAGCCCCAACCTCCATCATCTGCAGCCATCACCTTGCGTCCTGCCTCTGGGTTGTTATCATAGGCCAGCGAGGGGTTTGGGATTGGGTGATGCTGGAGCAAAAGAGAAAATGATGGAGAGAATAAAAGGTGGAGGAGAAATCCCCTGGAAACTGGAGGTGGAATGCTCAGAGGGAGCCAAGGATGGCTGATGGCATCTCGCCTATTACAGCATCATCCCCTGGCTACTGGCAGCTGGCTTCTGCCTGTAGCCATCGCTGATGCTTCCTTCTCTCCTCTGAGCTCAGACACCTCCCATCTTGCCCTTCATCTATATATATATGTTCTTTCTCTCTATCTTTCTTTCTTTCACTATGTGTGTGCATTTGCTGGACAACTGCATTTTTTATTCTTCTCTCCCAGACACGTACCAAACACATTCGGTTCTCATGCATTGTTTACAAAGTGGAAAACAAATGAACAAAAGTTATGAAAGAGGAAAAAAAACTCCCCACAAGTTAATATATTTTATATTAATATTGGTGTTTCTTTGTAAGTGTTGTATTTTCGTGCTGTGAACTTTTGTTTTTCCTGCCAAAGACAATGAGTTCTTGTTTGTGCATTTTAAGTTATCTTGAGTATTTAAATGTAAACTTGGCTGTTTCGATGTGCCGCCCTATACCGAGATTGCTGTAGCATTCCACTTGGTATAACAGTATTTTAATAAAAAAACCCAAATATTGACCCATGGGTGCTCTTATTTTCCCCCCATGTAATGGGGCAAGACAGAGTGAGGGGAAGGGGACTAGGGTTGATAAGCTGGCTGAAACTTTGGTGCTCCTAAGCTTCCTCCATGCGCACTCCTTGATGGCCACATCTTCAGGCACAGCTGGACCTGGCCTCCAAGCTCTCCCCTGGCTTTTGTCAGCCACCTCCAAATCCTTCCCACTCTGCTTAGCTCTTTGGTCTTGTGGAAGACCAGAAGTTCTCCTAGAGTTTGGGCCTTACAACTTCCACATCATGCTGCTGCCCAGCCTTTCCCCTCTGAGCTTTTTGTTTGCTGCTGTCTTTTTACTTTTCTTTTTAATAGCTGTTGCATTGATACTTCCCAGGGAACATCCCTGAGGACTCTGCTCCAGCTGCTTGGGTGTTGGCAGCCCAGCTGGAGCCATCACCAGCCAGGCTGGGGCTTTCCCTTTTGGACATCACTTGGCATTTACTAACAGATCATTTCTTTTTTTTAACCTGCTGTCCTGTGGCCCAGGAGATCTTGTGTAAGTCTCTGTAATGGGCTTTAGCTTGGATTAATGCAGAACAGCAGTGTAAGGAACCAGCTTTGCTGCCAACTCCTTCCTGGAAGGTGGCTAAGGACTGCTGAGGATCACCGGTCTTGGTGGGACCATGATGGTGAACACCAGCTTGGCTCTACAATTCCAGGAACCTGGAAGAGCTGTGCCTGAAAACTTGGGGTTTCCTCTGGCTGTGGGGCAGGTCTCCATCATTAGGGAGACTCAGAGCAATGGGAAGTGTGGAGCCCGGTTCCTCCTTCTACCCATGGTTTCCTCTGGATTTTCCTAGCGGGGAAACAAGCTCCTCCCAACTCCATGCACAACCTATGTCTGAAGTGGACCCTTCTGCACTCCCCAGTGATGGGGAAGACTGTGTGTGAAGCTCACAGGGAGCCGCTGCTCCTTGGGAGTGTGTTGAGGGGAGGTCCTGGTGGCCCCCATCCAGGGATCATACCTGCCCTGCCTCCCCCAGCTCCTGCTGCCCTGGAGCTGCAGGCAGCTGCCCAGGAAGGCTTGCAGCATTCCTGGCATACCTCAGCTCTCACGCCCCACATTATTTACCCAAATCCGGATGCTGAGCAGCCTTGCAGCGGGTCTGGCTGTTTGCAGGCAGTTTTCCATGTCCAGGGATCCAGGGAACAGGCTCCTGTTGAGGGTTTTGCACACCACTCCGCCATCCTCCATCCTGCACATCACTCTGTAGACCCCTACTCCCAAGGCTTTCATAGTCCCCAGGAGCCCAAAGATGAGGGAGCACAGCACTGTACAAGCAAAGCAGCAGAGAGGCATAACAAGTATATGGGAAGGGGAAGCCCCATCTGTGAATATGATAATAGGGCCATGGGGGGGGGATTCCTGATCTCCTTCTGCTATGCCCCTATGGATACGACAGCAGCTGTTTTGGTAGGGCTGCTTTTCAGCCAGAGCAGCAGCCTGATGGAGCTCTGCACCTTGGTGCAAGGAAGGCTGGTGTGGGGTGTGTTATCACCTGCTTTATCACTCTGTCATCACAGGCATTTCCCTCCACCCTTTCCACACCATCTCACTGGGTTTCACCATCAGCATCGCTTTATCCCACGTGGCTCCTGCTGACTCTAAGACATGCCCTTGTCACCACAGCACAGCTGAAATACCATATGGGAGCCAAACCTCCTGTTCCTGCTCCTGCTCCCATTCCTGTGTTTGTGATCTCTGTGTTGTTGATACTTGTGTCCCAGCACCCCTGTGTCCTTGATCTCTGCATTCAGAGAGCCCAGAGGAGGCCACAGAGGTGCTGTGAAGGCTGGGGCAGCTCTGCTCTGAGACAGGCTGCGAGAGCTGGGCTGGTTCAGCCTGGAGAAGAGGAGGCTCCACGGAAACCTTAGAGCAGCTTCCTGTGCCTAAAGGGGCTGCAAGAAACCTGGAGAGGGGCTTTGGACAAAGGAATGTTGTGACAGGACAAGGGGGAATGGCTTTAACCTGACAGAGGGGAGATTTAGGTTAGATATAAGGCAGAAGCTCTTCCCTGTGAGGGTGCTGAGGCACTGGCACAGAGTGCCCAGAGAAGCTGTGGCTGCCCCATCCCTGGCAGTGCTCAAGGCCAGGTTGGACGGGGCTTGGAGCACCCTGCTCTAGTGGAAGGTGCTCCTGCCCATGGCAGGGGGTTGGAACTGGATGATCTTTAAGGTCCCTTCAACCCAAACTAGTCTTTGATTTCTGTGATCCCCATATCCCTGCATCCCCATGTCCTCAGGTCTTGCATCCCTGTGTTCCTGTGTTCCTAAAAGGGGGTGGCTGGAGATGTCTGCCAAGCTGCTGTCTGGGCTGCTGCCTGGATGCAACCCCTTGTGTGGGTTGCACATCCACAGCCCTACAGAGATGGAAAGGGGCCAGCAGGCTCTGCTCCGAGTGCCATGACCGTCACCCTGGTGCTTTGGTGAGACGCCCTGTCCTGGGGCAGCAGCTCTCTCGCGGGTGAAAGGCAGACACTTGTCTGCCCCAGGGGCTATTTGGGGAGGTATGATCCCTCCTGTGGTCACAAGGCTGAGGAACTTGTTGGGGCCCCGTGGCCATACACCAGGCCCTGTTCTCCGCCAGGAGCACCTCGGTGGCTCAGTGCCACACCACAGCAGCATCTCTGCAGCTTTGGTTCCTGCTTTTCCTCATTTCTCCTTGGAGCCTGGAGGTTGAAGCTTGGTCCTTGGAGCATCCTTGGCAGGTCTTTTGTTGGCCCTGATTCCTCCTCACCCCCTCATCGCGCACCTCCTCTCCTTTTCCAGTTGCCAAATGCTAGAGTTGGATGGTGAAAGACAAGCTCGACATCACATCCTTATGATGGAAATGGCTCTTTGGAAAGCCAAAAATCCCCCACCAGAATTTGGGAGAAAGGGAATTTCTCTCCTCTTCCAATTAATCCCTGCTGCTGTGGGGGCAGCTTGGCAGTGCTGCAGGCCAGCCCTGCAGCCGGCTTCCCAGCAAACCAGTTGGGCAAACCATGGTGCTTTCTCTTGCCTCAAGTCCTGGCTTGCTCGTCAGGCCGGCAGGAATGAAGCTCTCCCCGCCGGGCCTGCTGAACCTTTCTCTTCCCCATCCGTCCCTCATTCCCTGCCTCCCTCTCTCACTCCACCACCTTCTCTGGGGGTCCCAAAGTCCTCTTTGTGCTCAGGCCTTGTTGGGGGCTTCCCCATGGCTTTATTCTGCTGAGGGACCAACGCTCCCCCCTCTAAGTTGGATTTTGCATCCCGTTGCATTTACAAGGATACCCCTAAGATGCCCCCTCCATGCAGAGCATCAGTGTGTAGTGCTGGAGCAGAGACAGGGCCCAGGTGGTGTTTGTTGTTATTTAGGGGAGGTGCATGGCCTGATGGTGGCCAGGTCTACCTCTGGGATGCTCCACCCCCCAGCCATGGAGCATCCTCCAGCACTGGGAGCTCCTCTGTCCTCCCCAGCCCCAAATGCTTCCCAAAGCCCTTCCACCGGGGCCCACGGCCGGCGTTGTGGCAGGGACACCCAGGTCCTGCTTGTGCAGGCAGCCAGGAATGATGCCTGGCGCTTTGCTGGGATAAGCAGAAGTGGTTGGGCCGTGGCGAGAGCACGGTGAATTCCTCACTCCTCCTCCCTGCGCTGTGCTGCCTGCCTGCCATCTTTGCATGCAAACAGTAAACAGACTGTTATTATCCCGGATGCTTTGAATATCTGTGGCTATTTTTTCTCTTCCCAGTATTCTAAAAAGGCAAAAAATTCCCTGCGGTTTCTGAGTCAACTTTTTTTTCCTTGGTC